CATGAATCGCTTTCCGATCAAACTGCCATGGACGCCCCATAAGTAAGTGACTAGCATGCATCGGGACAACATCACATAAAATCTCATCAGAATACTTCCCAATAGCAAACACAATCAAAACCTGCTTAGTAACCCTCACTCCACCACATTCATTCAACCATTGCAATCTATAAGGCCTAGGATGCTTAATACAACTCAGATTCAATTTCTTCACAAGTGTATCACTAGCAACATTAGCACAACTACCTCCATCAATTATCATGCTACATACCTTGTTTTGGATGTGACATCGAGTGTGAAATCATCAAGTACTAGGCACATTAGATAACCCAAACGGCATTACCATCCATTCATATAACCCCTGTTTAGTTTTAAATGCTGTTTTCCATTCATCTCCCTCTTTCATTCTAATTTGGTGATAACCACTCATCAAATCGACTTTAGAAAACAATGCAGCACCATGCAACTCATCAAGCAAATCATCAAGTCTGGGTATAGGAAATCGATACTTAACTGTTATTTTGTTGATAGCACGGCTGTCCACACACATCCTCATGGTACCATCTTTCTTTGGTACAAGCAAAGTAGGTACGGAACATGGACTAAGTGATTCTCGAACATAGCCCTTCTCTACAAGCTCACCAACCTGCCTTTGAATCTCTTTTGCTTCCGCTGGATTACATCTGAACCATTTTCCGCCCCTTGTTAGCTTGTTTAGCATACTTTGTTGTTTTCTCCTCAATATGTAATCGAACCTGCTCATGTAGTTTCTTCATCAATTCTGCCTTTCTAATTCCATCCATAGATGTCCTCTCATCAATTGGAATATGAACAAGATCAATAGGAACACAAGGATTAAAGCCATACACGACCTCAAATGGTGAAAATTTTGTAGCCCCATGCACACTACGATTATATGCAAACTCCACAATAGGCAAACAAGTATCCCAACTCTTCAAATTCTTATGTATAACAGCTTGTAACAAAGAAGATAAAGTTCGGTTTACTACCTCAGTTTGTCCATCAGTTTGTGGATGACATGTCGTACTGAAAAGTAACTTCGTTCCTAGCTTCCTCCAAAGAGTCTTCCAAAAGTAGCTTAAGAACTTTGTATCACGATCAGAGACAATGCTTTTAGGAACTCCATGCAAACGAACAATCTCTTGAAAGAACAAATCAGCTACATGTACAACATCGTCAGTTTTGTTGCAAGGAATGAAATGGGACATTTTGGAGAATCGATCAACCACAACCATTATTGAGTCCTTTCCACGCTGTGTTCTCGGTAACCCCAGTACAAAGTCCATGCTAACATCCATCGACGGTTGCTCTGGAATAGGCAACGGCATATACAGCCCATATGCATTCTCTTTACCCTTAGCTTTCTTGCAAATAGCACATCTCTCAATCATCAAAATATACTACAACAAACAGCCCAATATACTTCCTCAAAACATGATTCATAAGCCTCATAAATGTACTAGGCGCATTAGATAACCCAAACGGCTTTACCATCCATTCATATAACCCCTGTTTAGTTTTAAATGCTGTTTTCCATTCATCTCCCTCTTTCATTCTAATTTGATGATAACCACTCATCAAATCGACTTTAGAAAACAATGCAGCACCATGCAACTCATCAAGCAAATCATCAAGTCTGGGTATAGGAAATCGATACTTAACTGTTATTTTGTTGATAGCACGGCTGTCCACACACATCCTCATGGTACCATCTTTCTTTGGTACAAGCAAAGTAGGTACGGAACATGGACTAAGTGATTCTCGAACATAGCCCTTCTCTACAAGCTCACCAACCTGCCTTTGAATCTCTTTTGCTTCCGCTGGATTACATCTGTATGCTGGTCTATTAGGAAGTGAAGCTCCCGGCACCAAATCAATTTGATGCTCAATTCCACGAATAGGCGGTAACCCTTTAGGTAATTCATCTGGAAACACATCTTTAAATTCTTCTAGCAATTCCTTAATCTGTGTTGGTAAGTCCAGTCCTTCTACTTGTAGCAATTGCTTTGCCCAGATCATGAAAACAACCCCCGTCGAAGCTAATGCCTTTTTGATATCGCCTTTTTTGGCTAACAACAGCCCCTTACGTGATTGCACCTCCTTTTGTTGGCTTCGTAACTGATCCTCTCTAACCTGTTGAGAACTCAATGGCAACAAGTTCACCTTCTTTCCATTCAGCATGAAAGAATAAGTGTTCTTTCGTCCATTGTAGGTCACATCCTTATCAAATTACCATGGACGACCCAGTAACAAATGGCTACCTGACATCGGCCCAACGTCACACAAAACCTCGTCATGATAGGTTTTAATGGAAAAGGGCACAAGAACTTGCTTTGTCACCCGAATCTCCCCATTCTCATTCAGCCATCGCAAACTAAACAGTCTGGGATGTGGAATGGTAGTTAAGCCCAATTTCTCCACCAAGGTAGTTGACGCAACATTAGTGCAACTTCCACTATCAATGATCATCCCACACACCTTATCTCGAATCTGACATCGAGTATGAAAGATGTTCTCACGTTGCTCAGCACTAACATCAACTTGTGCATTTAGAACCAGTTGCACAACCAACAAATCTCCCTTCATTGGTTCGAAATCCTCTTCCTGTTCCATTTGTGCCTCATCTTCATCTTCAGTTTCAGCCTCATCTCCACTTATCAGCTCTCCATGATCCCCATGCAATATCATTACCCTTTTATTTGGACATTCTGAAGCAATGTGCCCATGTCCTCAGCACTTGAAGCACTTGATGTCTCGTGACCTCCTTGGATATGGAGGTTCTGTCACCTTCTCCTTTCCCTTTAAAGAATCAGAACTGGTATTCCCCTTGCTGACCTCCACGTTCTCATCTCGTTTAGGTGTGCTCCATGTTCGAGTAGGCGTAGATCTGTCCCTTGTCGTACTTGACGTAGTTACACTAGTTCGGACACCTCCTCCTTTCTGCTGCCTCTCTACACGACTTGCAAGCTTTATAACATCCTCAAGGAAGATGTACGGTTGCAATTCAACCACATTAGCTATATCCTTCCTCAACCCTCCAAGAAATCTAGCTATTGTTTGTTCTTGGGGTTCCATCAATTCACATCGAATCTGTAGCAACTCAAACTCTTTCACATACTCTTCCACGCTTAAAGATCCTTGTCGCAAAGTCTGAAGTCTGATATCTTCCACGCTTAAAGATACTTGTCGCAAAGTCTGAAGTCTGATGTATAGCTCTTGTTTATAGTAATCAGGAACAAATCTCTTCTTCATCACTCTTTTCATAGTTGCCCACGTTCTAATCTCCTCTTGCACTTCCTTTCTGTAAGCTCAAGTGCTGCCACCTTGCACTTCCTTTCTTCAGAATATTAATACCATTCAAACACCTTTTCAACCTTCTGAATCCATTCCAAGTATTCCTCAGGTGAACTACTTCCTCGAAACGATGGAATCTTAAGTTTGAGACCACTAGGAGGATTATTATTCTGTCTTCTTGGTCTGCCCCTGTTGTCGGCCTCATCATCCCCATTTGGATCTCCATCAGCTTCTACAAAATCATTTCGTGGCACCCTAAGTGCTTGCCTCTGCTGGGGTTGCAAATTATTTCTTTGCATCATTTGCATAAGGGTATGCAACTGTTCACGAATTCCAGTCATTTCATCCCGAATCTCAGCATGAGATCGTTGTAAGCCCATAACCTGTGCCTGTTCTAAACTTAACCCTCTTGGCAAATCTTCTTTATCTCCAGCCATAACTAAGTTTATCAATTGCAATTCCAGCAAGCCTTTCTTCTGTTTCTAGCTCTTGCCTTAGATCGCAACTGATGCTCTGATACCAGATGTTGTGCCGTGAATGATTCAAAAATCGGCAACAATGAATCTGACGAAAATGGATGAAGGATGGGTCTGGTTGTATTGTCTTTCTTCTGGTGTTTAGGCTAGATTATAGTATTTTTAAGGTAAATAAAAATGGAGGATAAACTAGAGTGATACTTTGATAAGTCGATCTGGACGCCACAAAGATCAATCTAGGATTTTGACGCCACACTCTTTGTGATTGAAGAGTGATAAGTCAGGTAGGGTTCTTCACAAATCAATTTGGAAGAATAACTCTTAATTCTCGGAATTAAGTTCAAATATTGGCCAAAAGTTGTTTATTACATATTCTGATGCCATATTTATAATGGAACATCCCTCCACACTTAGGAAAATTCAACATGACAGAAATCAAGCCCAAAACTTGGACTTTGACAAAGTAACCAGACAAATTACACTAGCACACATTTTCTGACTTTAATTGAAACATAAACAGACCGAATTTAAAATGGCTATAACTTCTTGCACAAAAGTCCAATGCAATCATGGTTGGACAATCTGGAAAGATCACGTTCTGAACTTGAAATCCACCTAGATTAGTCTTGTTTTCACATGCAATGGATGACTTCAAATTCGGGTTCAAATTTATCTACTGTTCTGACGTAAACAGCATCAATTTCTTAACTTATTTGCATTATCAACCCAAATTCAAGTAGTCCAGCATCAAAAGAACCATTAAGGGCTCTTCCCATCTTTAAGCTCCAATTGTAGGCAAATAAGCACCCTTGAACCAATTTGAAACTGATTGCCAAATTTTAACTCCGACGCAGCTTCAATCATTCCAATCTGACTCGTCAAGGTCCTTTGTAGTTGTTTCGCTCTCGCTCTTGTCATTGGACCATCTGAATCCTCTTGCATATTTGATTTACCTTTACGAGATGGATTATCATTCCCATGATGCACATCATCAGCCCCGGGTTGATAATGATTTGTCCTCAAATCATAATCGTCGTCATCATCCAAGTATGGAGTCAAGTCTTTCACATTAAAAGTAGCTGATACATTGTAATCACCAGGAAGATCTACCTTATACGCATTATCATTCACCTTCTCTATAATCCGTTTTGCTCCTTTCACAACTGCTGGACAATTATTTTTCAGAAAAGCTCATCCTTCGTACTCTAAATTTCTTGTTTTTGTCTGTGCTCATTTTGTTTCTAGATATGGCCACCCAAAGATTTCGTACCACTTGGGAATAAAGAGTAAAACAGCTGAATGAATGTTGTTAGGTACGTGTTCTTAGACAGCATAGCATGTAACTACTATCTTCCCTTGACAAAAGCAATCCCCCTCTTATATTGTAATGTCTTCGGTCTTTCATTTTGTAGCTCTCCCAAAGTCTGAGTTGACTGCTGTGTTGAGATCAAGTATGAGCTATAGAATGAACCTAATTTATTCATTTCTAATTAGTTCTCGATACAACCAGGTGCCCTGCTACATTTTGGGGGGCTTAAAAGTAGCCGGGGGCAGTCTTTGCTCTAGATGATCACCATGCCTAAAGTTACATTATATTACCTTAGTGATGACTTGCAAGTATCTAGAACCTACATTGCAATTCCATTTTTGTTTCATGATAGATTCTTTTCATCCAAAACAATCCGAAGCTTCCTCTGGTTTTCTATTGTCGTGAATACAACCATTACTGATTGATAGAACTCGTTAGTGCAACTAAACTGACAAAGTTATTACCAGTCATACTTTACTCTGATTTGGTTAGACATTACGGCTTTAAATGCCCAGGTTTGGGCTAACTTTGCAAGCATATGTACCTTTTCTAACAAATGGGAAGAACTATTATGCAGCCATATAATGTTTGATCATTAATTTGGGATTCACTAAAAACAGGCACAAAATTACTTACTTTGGATTGTAATGTCGTAATAAATTTTTTTCACTCAAGTTTTTTCCTCTTTAATTTTATTCTTTTAAATTGAATTCATTTATAATTAGACTTCATAGTTTGCATTAATTGGCTTCATGTAGGGTTTTCGTGATGCTGGAAAAAAAAATTAATGCTCATGATTTGATAAATAAAATTTAATTTTATTGATTTAGAATAAATGCGAATCTAAAATAAGTGTTAAGGAACTAAATTGGATGAAATGGAAAAAAGTGACTTTGTGTAAGACATGTGCAAGTGTGAGAATAATCATTGTACTTTAGTGGCACATAATAGCCATTAACCTACAAACACAGTCTTCATCAATATTATTTAATTAATTTTTTATTTATTTATTTTTTATAAAATTATTTTAATATTATTATTCAAGTTATAGGGTTTGTTGTTGTTTTTTGTTTTTTTTTATATTTTAATATTAAGTTGGTTGAGAATTAGATTTTGTAATTTTTTTTATTTGTTTTCTATAAGGTCATCTTAGTTGTAAATTTAACATATTAGTCCTAGTTGACTTGGGATTTTTTCTTTGTACTTTTTGTTATTTAATTTATTTTTTTAATTCATCTTTTGATATTAAGTCGGTTAAGAATTAGGCTTCAATTTTTTCTTTTTGCTTTTTATAAGCTTATCTTAATTTTATAACTTGAATCGTGGGTTTGACAGACTAATATATGTTGAATAAGATCCTTTTTTATCTTTTTATTTTAAATTATCCTTCAATATTTGATTGGTAAGGAATTGAACGTTGTAATGTTTTTAAATATATTTTTCATGGTATTATCTCATTTTCATGTCCCATATCCACGATTGAGTTTAGGAGGTTAATCCAGATTGATTTGGACTTTATTTTTTGTCTTTTTTTAAAAATAGAAGTTTTTTTTTTAGTTTTATCCTTTAATATTTTGTTGAATAAGAATGAGTTTTATGCATCACACTTTCACTATCGGGCCATGAATTTGACAAGTTATTTTAGTCTAGCATGGATGTTTTAAAAATATATCATTTAATATATTATTATCTCAATATTAAACAAATATATTGTTTAATGCATGAGATTTTGAAATGATGATAATATATATATAGTGTAGAAATGCATGTTTATTTTTTTATGCTGAAGAATTTTTTTATCCTACCCGCAACATGGTGCAGGTAACAAATGTAGTTCTTTTTATACAGATACTTGGTTAGAGGATTTTGTGTTTTGCAATGCTTTTAATTGCATATATGGCCATCCATTTAGAAATGAAATGCCATTAAGAACCATAATGTTCTTGTTGTGTTGTTTGCAAATAGATAGTCTCCCTTCTCTCAATTTAGGGCCAATATATGTTTGGGTTTAACGTAGGCCTTATAAAATCTGCAGACAATACTTCAAGGCTTGAATTTACAGTAGATGGCAGCAGTGCCTTATATTTACAATAGCAGAGTCTATGTAAGGAATGCTTAAAAGTCTGTGCTAAATTTATGCTACTGTTACAACCATAGTTATTAAGTATAGAATCAGGTGTAATTACAAATTGAATGACAGAAAAATTAGCATGATTATAGACTAATTATGCATTGTTTCATGATTTGCAGAATCTTTCTTGATACGTGACACGACTAAAAGATTGATGTCTTCTCCCAAGTGCAGGAGTGTCGAAGTAATAAATAACCCGGCAAGACCGGGGTCGAACCACAGAGAGGTTAATTGTACAAATTATAGACAACAATTATAAACAACAATAATAACAACAATAATAGTAGTAGTAGTAATAATAATAATAATAATAATAATAGCAGTAGTAGTAGTAGTAGTAATAAAGAAAGAGAAGAAGAAGAAGATGATGAGAACTTGAAGATGGAAAATTAATGTAAGGATTAAACAATAATAATAACAAATGTCAAGGTTAGAGGTTCCACTAATGGTATATCAAACAAATATAGTATAAACTCTTATTATTGAATTGGAAACCATACACAAAGGAGGTTCCAATCAGATTATATATTGTTAACATGATTACATTAGTCATCTTATTCAATTAATGCTAATACTTGTAAATCTCGTCAAGCATTCATGATTATAACTTATGTTAACAAAAAATCAAGTTCCTTTCATAGCTCAGGTGTCGGTTATACCATACATTATGGGCTATGAAAGTGCCAAGCATTTGTTGTACCAAGTGTTATACAACATAAATCAAGATTAATCATTTAACAAGCAAAGTATTAAAGAGTGAACAAGATAACAAATACAAAACATGTTAGTATCAAACATTAAAGTCCATATTAAGTTTACATTATACTTATTCTTACACCATTAGTGTAACCTTTTCACCTTGACATAACTAACTTAGCTAGACATAATGAAAGAAAGCAAAATAGATAAACAAAATAAGAACATAAAAGTTAACTAAGTAAAGGAAAGGAAATGAAAAGCATAAACTTAATATTAATCAAAGCAAAGCATAAACATTACAAAAAATACAAAGAGAGAAAGGAAGAGCATGATCTTAATCTGGAAACCAAGATGCCTAAATGCATGGCAAATGCCTCCTTTTATAGGCCAAAATTGGAAACTATTGATTTGATGACTAATTGATAAGTGGGTGGCCAACTTTTGACTTGGTGACAATCCTTATCTTCTCTTGTCTGCCCAAAACGTCATTGATAACGTCAAAACTGGAGCCAGTTGCAAACATGAAAGTTGTAGGCAATTGGTCATTGATAACGTCAAAATTAGAGCCAGTTGCAAACATGAAAGTTGTAGGCAATTGTCTCAGCTTTCTTGTGTAAACAATTCAGCTCATTTGGACTTCTAGAACTCCAGATATGGCCAAAATACCGAACAATGCTCGGGCTGGAAGACAGATTCGGCTTCTTTGTTGTTGCTACAATTTGGACTTAATAATGGCCTTTTTAGATCTTGGGCTCCATATGAAAGTTGTAGGCCTATGTCTTACCTTTCCATCCATATAAATTGGACCTAAATCTGAGATATATAGCTCTAGATATGACCCAATTACCGAACAGTATTCCGGTTTGGATTGCACCGACATCTCTTTTCTAAGTTTAGCCATCTCTTTATCCTTGCAATTTAAGTTCTCCAAGTCATCAATCAATCCTTTCATTTATGTGATAGGCCTGCATTAAAAATAGACATTTACCATAAATTATAGGTATCTTATATTATTAGATACATTATTATAAAATATATTTTAGTTAAGGAGTTATTGATATTTCAAGTGCAAAATGATGATATAAAACCATGATAAAAATGCACTTTTAAGTACTAATCACACCCCCCAACCAGCTTATTACTAGTCCCTAATAATCAAAGCGTTAAAATAGAAAACAAATTTCCAAATTTCACAAAGCAAGGTATTCATCATTTAACTTCCATTAATCTATCCAGATAAACAAACTCTCATTAAATTTATATATCTGCCCAATACCTCTTAACAAGATATTAATAAACCTTTCTTTTGTGCTCAATATATCAACACATAATTATGGGGCTTTTCTTGGAAGAAAACAAAATTTTTGTTCTAATGTTTAAGGTTAACTTCCTTGGGTTGGGATTACTATTTTTGTCTTTTTTTTTTCTTTTTTTTTTAAAAATCTATATACATATAATTTAAAAACATCATGCATCTTTAACCCATGTAACGAGCTTTCAACTAATGACTCCCAGACCAGTTGGTCTTAGGGCATTAGGTGTTAAGACACCCCTACGAGCTTAGTAACTCGGGTCGCAGATACTGATATGTAGATAGTGCAATGTTTGATTCCCTTAAGTTTTTCTCCTCAACCCATGTAACAAGCGTTGGGCCAATAGCTCCCAAGTCAGTTGACTTTAGGGTATTAGGTGTTAAAACACCCCTTCGGGCTTAATTGCTTAGGTTAGGGAGGCTACGAAATCAAACTTATCTACATTTTTATTATCATCATTTTTTTTTCTTTTTTTTCTTTTTTTTTTCATGTTTTTTTTTTTTAATTATATACAATCCCTTTCCCTTAGTTGTTACCTTTAACAAAAGAACATAAATAATGTAATAATCCAATATGCAACCCACAATCATATGTTAAAGTGTGTGTGTGTAAATTAAGGTTTAAAAATACATGTTAAATAAGTATATGAGCAGAATTAAGTGGTAACAATACGAGAGTTTGTAAACCTGAATATTTCAGGAAGTATTATAATAGACCTTGTTAAGAATGGTTACTAAGATGCGTCTCAAGAGTTACTTTAACAAAAGAACTCCTTTACTCGGCCATCCTAGTAACAACAATTATGCACATGCTTTATGAAATGAAAAACAATTTTTTTTTTTATCAACTACTACCCTCTCCCCCCAACCAAAATGAGACATTGTCCTCAATGTTCTAAGGTAGAAAGATAGAGTATAAAAGATATCACCTGAAATAACGAACACTGACAAAACCTGAAACACACTATAACAAAAATAAGAAATAACAAAACATAATAATAAAACCAAAAGACACAAAAATTCACAAATGAAGGCTCAAATCCAATCTAAGCTTTTTACGGCTTTCCTTAGATGACCAATTTATGCGACTCATGGAAGGATCAATCACAGGAATGAAAGATTGTAGTTGGTCAATCAATTGTTCAGCAGTAGTAGCAGAGATTATGATTTGTCGTGCAGAAGATGTTAAAAATTCTTGTTCCACTGCATAATCAAGAAAAGACAACAACTTATCATAATAACCATTAACATTTAACAAACCTATGTGTTTATGGTGAATATGCAATTGAGCCCAAGAGGAAATATGAAAGATCTCTTCCAATGTGCCTAGACCACCTGGTAAAGTAATGAAGGCATCACCATGGTTAAACATTGCATTCATTCGAGCCGACATTGTGGAGACCTGAAGTTCCTCTCCAATTGTT